TGTAACCGTAATACCTTAGAGTACTAATAATAAACAGTTAAGGCAAGACTGCCGAATTAAAAAAAAAAAAAAAAATACTCTTAGCTATATACTAGATCCGGAATCTATTATAGGTCTTGTACTTTTCTATATATGTAACTTTTACTTTTTTAAATATATAGTTTATTTTACTAAACCTTTTTAATCAAAACAAGAATATAGATAAAGATTTGTATACCATATGATCATAATTTAAATGTATAAGTGAATTTTAGTTCTAGTAGAATTTGATAGCAACTATTTTATTAACAGCTATTTCATCAACAACCTCTAACTATAAAGCAAGCTAACTCTAACTCATATCATACTAAAGTATATTAGCAAAGTAGCTATTAGCAAAATAGTTGTTGGTAAATACCTTTTATTTTTCTTTATATGCATTTAAATATTAATTACACAAATTATTTCATATTTTTTAGATATGTCAGGATTTCAAATAAGGCTTTATGAATACCAAATTATGTTGTTTTGGATTCAGTTTATATTAAGTTTAGAGCAGTTTTATGGACAATAAAATCCACACATCCTAACTCTAGCCCTGGCCATGGTACCACTTGTAAGAACTTTCTTGAATTTTTAGAATTTATTTTATTTATGATTTAGAAATTTCTTGCTTAAATTTAATACTTTACCTGGTGATTAGTGTGAAAATATTGAATTTGATTAAATTGCTTGATTAAGGTAAGTCTCAAACTTTCAGCATAATATTTATTACTAAACTTTTAAAAAAAAAAACTAAATTTTTTTGTTTTAACTACAGATAAAATAATTCATGCTGTAAAATATTTATAAAAATTTTATATCACAATTCAGTATTATAATCTTTCTCATTATTTAATAGTATAAAAAAATTACTAATAGATGTTTGATATTAGATTCAATATATTTTTGATTTACTAAGATCAAATATTTTTAAAAAATTTTGATATCTTCAGGTTTGAAATTTGTATCAATTTGTTGTTCAAAAAAACTAATAAACTTATTTAAGCCCATTTGTTCTTCTGAAATAAGAATTTCTGGTTGTTCCTTATCCGAGTCATCAAGATCTCTATTTTCATGCTGATTTGCTTTATCCAAACTGATTTCAACAATTTCTGAATCTTCAAGTTTCTCCTCAGTTACAATATGCAAATCATTAAGCTTAAAGTATGTGTTTAGTTGGTTTTTTATTTCTGGATCTGGATCTTGGACAGTCAAATCTATCACCAGCATGTCAATGTTCTGTTCTTGCTACTTTAATGATATGTTTTGACTATTAATAGTGACTTCTATTTCTTTATAAAAAATTGGCACCGAAATTTTAGTCTTCTTTCAACAATTGACAATTACCAAAGTTTCGATATTATCTCAATATTCAGAGATATAATAGATAGTATTCTTAATATTAAACTTGTTTCTAATTAAAATTAAAATAATATTAGAATTGAAAATTTTCTTATATAAGGCTGTACAAAATTAATTAGTTGGTTTTTGTAGCCCTAGCTAGAGCAAAATTTTTATATACTTTAATAATTAGATCAGTTTTGAATTTTTTTTTAAAAAAAAAAATAGTAGCTAGATTTATTTAAAATTTTATGTTATGAAACCAAGACATTGATTAAATTTGTATGGTCCAATTAAAGTATAATTTTCAACTTTTTTAAATCTTTGTTGTTTTCAATTTGTATGAATATACTTTTGTTTATATTTAGATTTGAAACTTTTGATAATTCTAACATCCATAGGTTAAAGGTGAGTGGTGGTATTTGGGGATAAAAATTCAAGCCTAGTATTAGTTAATTTTACATTAAAATAGTTAGAAATGGTATGTGGTTGACTATAACCACTACTGTAATGGCTCTGATTACCATCAGTACTATGTTTATTACTATGATTGCTACAACTATTGTTTGCACTTTGATTGGTTCTAGTTAATCTTGGCCAACCTTGACTTTGTTGATTTTCACGTAAAACAGGTGTTATCTCAGGTTCTAAATTATTATTACAGTCGTCCTTCTCTATAATCACACAGTCCATATCATGCAAATTGTGTGATTATGTAAAGGTTTTTACTATGATGTGCTTATAAGGAAGTATTTTTTTATAAGTTTATTAGTAAAGTATTGCAGGCCTTGGCGTGATTATAAAAAGGGTTTACTATGATGTGATTATATAAGAGGTGACTATATAGGAGGAAGACAGTATCTAAATCTGAATTTGATTTATGTAATTCAGGAATATTAATTTGATTATGGAAATGCAATAAGGCATTATCAACTAATAATAGGACTTGACAATTTTAAATATGAAATCTCTGATTCAAAATTTTTAGCTATTCAGAAAAAATGTCATTTTGTATTTATGCTTGTGAATTGGCACAATAGATAACAGGTAAAGAATCATAATTAATGCGTATAAATATACGAGGAGAAATTGAAAACCCAATTACTAATAGTTTTAATTTTTCTGTTCCGGTTGCATTATATATTAGTATAATAGTAATCTGTGAATAATCCTACAAAAATTAATTAAAAATTAAAAAATTAGATTATAAAAAATTAATCTATAACCTGGTCATAAATATTTTGGGCATTCCCTATATAGCATTCATTTTACTAAAAATTTGCATATGATAATAATGATAGTATCTTCAAATTTTATCTCCTGTAATAAAAAGTATCAAAATATAATTTCAAAAAAAACTTTGTAAATATATTAAAAAACCTGCATATAATTAAAAAAGAGACTATAACAACACCCACCAACAATAAAAGAAACCACTTCAACCTACTATATGACACACCAGAGAGCATGGAAGGTGTCAACGAACACCAAACTGAAGATAAACAACATTTTGTTAAATGCGTCAAAACAAACACAATGCAGAATGACCAAACCAACACCCAACTACCAACTACTGCTACCATATCAACTGAAGGACACTTCAACACCACGGACAACAACAACAAACTGCAACACCAAGAAACAACCTCAGCCAACGAGAATAATAGAAACCAAGTAACAGAAACTGTCGAAAATTCTGAACTTACAACAAATCAATTGACATCATCAACACAACAAACTGAGGTGGAAGTTACCCAAGCAAATACTCCCACGCCATGTACTACAATTAATATTAATTAAATGATCATTGACCAACCGATTACAACAACCGAAATAGACCTAGTTAATCAACTCAACAGAGCAAATCCTAAGTTAGCAGAGTTGGTAAAAGAATTACCAAAGTCAGACTCAATAGAACACAATGTCTGGATTAACAAAGTAAGCAAACAAAGAGCATCCTATAGCCAAGTAGTAGCAAGATCAACAAGTTACGGATCCCAACCAGAGCAACTCTGGCTGGCTTAAATATCCAACGAATTAGAGAAAAGGAAAAAGCAAACCTTCGACCACAACTACTGAAACAATGACAAGATTATCCAAGCACTGAATGACAACATCTTATTCGAACAACTGATTTAACACAAAGTGAAAGCTGCAATACCATCAATTAATATACCAACAGCAATTGCAAGCAAATTGAAATTCCGCAATACAGCATTCTTTAGATCCTTCTTACAAGATAGAAATACCCAGCCTGATCATCAGAAAGAATTCAACTCATTGTTGAATATCGCAATTGAGAAATACAAACGTAAATACAATATCCTCTTAGTCAATAAAAACAACCGAGACCAAATATACAACAAACTCAGGAAAAAATTAGCTATCAATACAATCTTATCATTAAACCTACCTTTGTTAGAAGATCACGTCAGCGCCCAGCACATCTACTATCTAATAAACTTTGGCAAAATCGAATCCACAATGGAATTTGAACAAGCTCGTAAAACTATTGGTAAATACCAGTCTGAGAATAGACAAGAACTTCCGGATAAACCAGAAGATGTACCGATCGACATCACTGAATTCCTACTATTCACACTACCTATCGAAGATAACAATAGAACAGCGGCAATAGTTAAAGCAATGAGGCTTATATTCAATTTTGGCCAACTACCCAACGCATACTTTGTAACTGTTAGAACACCCCTACCAAGAAACCCAGCAAAACTTAAAGTGTTGAATCACATATTCCCACTAAGAGATCGTAGTAGACTAGCCTATCTGGCAGAATATCACAGAGAACTCAGAAAAATCTACATACTCCAAGAGAAACTCCCATCAACATACTTCGATTTACCACTAGAAAAAATCGATCTCCCGTCTATACCGCAAGCATTGAGAGCAGAATACAGGAACCTTTTCTCCTGTAAACCAAAAAATGAAATGGAATTTAAAAGTCTTATTGAACAATTACGCAGAGTGTACAGATTCAAAAAATTACCAAATGACTATATCATCCAAAAAAAACAATTACCAACTGAACCCCTATAGTTAACAACAGCAAAGAGGTATAACTTCCCTTATCCGACAAAACTAGTACGCTGCAATTCATAGCAGAAGTTGAAGATGAATACAGGATCCCAGACACTCTTCCCCTCAACTACACTATCATTAACTATACAAACAAACCCGAACTCCCAAAAAATCATACAGACATACCTTGTATGAACCTTACCATACCAATCATGACATCTAAACAACTCGTCGATATAGCCAGAGAATTAAGAGGCCACTATTTTCCGATCGAATGGATAGATATTCCGAAAAAAGAAAAAGTAAAAATCTCAAGCAAACAAAAACTATACATACCATCAAACATTAATGATTTACAGCAACAGCTAGCTACATTAGATCCCAACCTAAAACTACAACTGCCCATCAAAGAACACAATGCAATCGAATCTACTATGGATAGCATTAGCACTTACTTTAATATAACAGTAACACCAACATACCTACACGACCTCCCAGACCTACCTTCACCAGAATGGGATATCTTTGATAACTATGCACCCACTGCCTAATAGTTGAACCAAGAAGCATAGCCGACTCAACATTGGAAGATATTTACATAATATATAAACAAACGAACTTAAATAACCAACCCATCACAGAGACACATACCTCACTAATCCAGAATACTAGACAGACTACTAACATTACACAGTCAAAGATAGCACAAGCCAACAGAAACTTAAATTTAAGCCTTGGCCTAGTAATCTACAATATCCAAGGAATTAATATTAACCTTAAGTTACAAACATGGCTTCAATACTGCTCTGGACAAAATACGGATATATGTATAATGACAGAGACAAAACTGTCAGCAGACCATTGCCATCTAGCAAGTCTCATTAACCCCTGGTACAAAATTTATACAGCAAACTGTGACGACTACAACGCTTCACTATGTCAATCAGTTAAAGGAGTAGCAATAGGATTGAAACCGGAACTCCAACCATACATCCACAACATAAAAGCTATACTGGGACACGCACCGCTTATTGACCTATACTTACCTAATCGCAACAAAACAAGGATAATAGGAGTCTATATACCTTCAGCCAATTCCAGCACAACGAATGCTGCCCAGCAAACAATTATTAATTGGATTCAACAAGCACGATCCTTCAACTATAATATCTTAGTAGCAGGAGACTTCAATTTCAACATATCAAAAAAGAATTCATCAACACTAATCACCTATCTAAATACTTCCAGCTTAATAAGTGCACTACAATTTTACAACATTGACAAACCGACTTGAAACAACCAAAGCACCTCAAGTCAAATTGACGACATTTGGACAAACCAAGAAATAATATTAAACATAGAGCAACCATTAATACTATCTTCAGCATTAATGACAAATAGCGACCACAAAATAATTTAATCAAGGTGGCATATCCCAAACATTATAAGAGTACCACGACAGCACAAAGTTAAATGAAAAATATACAACTACTCGAATACAAGCCAGGAAAAATGAAATTGTTTTAAAGAACAGATAGACAACTTGACTAGACAGTCTTCAACGACTTATGTACAAATAACAGACACCAAATCTCTTAACAAAGCTTGAAACAACATACAAAACATCATTAAACAAGCAGCTAACAAACACATCCCATACACATTAATGAGCTCCCGTACATTCACACCTTACTCACTCCAGGCTACAAAGCTACACCAACACTTCAAATTGATAAACAAACTCCTAACATCATTAATATAATTTTCGCCCTTGTTACTGTCCTACTTGGTGAACAATGCGAACGAGACCCTGAGGGAAATAGAATCATCAAATCTAGTAACACAACAATTAACTATGAATGAATTAGAAGCTCCAAATTTCAACCAAACGATTAGAGAACTAAAAGATTTAAGGAGAGCTTTATATATAGCACATAACATGAAAAACTTACAACAACAAAAACAGATAATCCACAACAGAATTACAAAGCGTCAAAACGACTTTCAGAACAATACCGGCAAAATGATTAACAGCATCTTAAAACGCCAACAGCAATACGTCAGCTCAATCAACGTAACACTAGCTTTAGAGATAATCACAGATCCAGCACAAATAAAAAAAGCGATGTCTGCACACTTTGAATGGTGGACTGACCACAACCCAACAAACTGGAATTTATGGCCGGAATGGTAGGAGTATTACCAACCAATCACATCGATCAACCTGTCATGTTATAACACTTTAGTTTAACCAATCACTATCACAAAACTAGTAGACACGATACAACAATCACCCATAGCTAAAGCCCCAGGCCCTTTCTTGATTTCAAATGAGATATTAAAACACCTACCCAAAGTCACATTATCGAACATCCTCAATATATTTAACGCATACCTCCAGCTTAAAACTATCCCGACAGCTTGGACCAAAGGACTTGTATGGCCTATTACAAAAAGTGGATACAAGGACAGAGACCTATCAAGAACAAGACCAATAGCCTTCATTGAACACACTAGAAAGATACTCACAAAAATCATAACCAATCGTATCAATCAAGTTCTTGTCAATATTAATGTTTTATCAGAGTGTAACAATGTTGCATTACCTGGAACCTCAATAGCACAACCTATAAATAAGTTAACACATATTAGAGAAGATGCAGCGGCAAATAAAAAAGAACTTTGAATTCTAGCTCAAGATATATCAAAAGCTTATAACACAGTGTATATTCCCCTTTTAATCAAAGCATTGGTGAGACTACGTATTCCTAATCAAATAATCGAATTACTTATGAATATCCTGCAACACCGTACCAACCAAGTTATTACTAGCATTGGACGAACACCGACATACTCTGTTCATGATGGACTAGATCAAGGAGAAACCATATCCCCAATACTCTGAAGAATATATTACGACCCACTCATTGCCTAGGTTGAAAAAGAAATACAAAGATACACCATGTCAGTTACTAACCCGAGAATGAAAATAAACTTAACTTACAGTACCACAGTCATAGTTTACATGGATGATACCACGTGGATAGTACCAAGTAGGACTCAACTAGAAGATACACTTACATTAGCAGATTCATTCTACAAATTCGCCAACATCATGGTCAACCCCAGCAAATCAGTGTTACTTCATAACAATCAAAATGATAAAGACCCAATTATCTTTCAAGAACAGTATATTGAAAACTTAGAAAAAAATAAAACACTCAGATTTCTAGACACATTTATAGATCACTCACCAACAAACACGATTGTCATCAAACAAATCATTTGAGCCTTCAACCAACAGTTAAACAAACTACGGTTTGCACACATCACGGAGAAACAAGCAATAATAAATGTAGTACTTTTCGCACAAATCAAATACCAATTACAAAATATCAACCTTACTCAACCCAAATGTAGACAAATCATGACCAAATATATCTCGACGGTAAAGCAAAAAGCATCACTGGCAAGAGGAGTACCTAATACTACTCTCACAAACTCATTCCTTTATAAGCTACTAGATCTAGCCCAAATCCAATCAACTAACCAGATAATATCTTTAAATAACCAACTTAATGAAATGCACAAATTATTTAAAATATGAATCCAGCAGTTACAAAACAGCACAAGAACTAACATATCAATCCTCGAGAAATTAGCCACGCTTACGCCAAGTGAACAAAATTCCTACACTAATCAATTAATAACAACCACCCACAACATGAACATAACCTTTGTAAAACCACCTGTCAATTGGCCAATTACAATGCAATTCGAAGACACTTTGATAAATGAACTACTTGTCTATTCTCTATCAAACTTCAAGATTAAGGATTGTCTTAATAAACACAATGTAGTCGCGATTAAACAATTTCTTAATGTGGATGCAACGGATTTCATCACATGGAGAGAATTCCATTATAACATATAGAAAATACCAAGGGAAAGAACACCCAAATAGTACAACTACATTCAACAGTTAATTGCAGAACAAACGGCACCAGCTACAACATTTCCATCCCTTAACCCATACATTTGGCAACCGATTACTCATGATAATAAACACCGTTGGATAATAACCTCACAAAAGCTAATAGGAAAAATGAGGAAATCAAACACAAATCATACCACTATACAATACTGGACATTAAATTTAACTAACAACAGTCTTTCAAAATACACAGGGTGCACACACAGAAATACTAATTCCAAATATTGTAGAATCAAAATTAATTTAGATCAAATCTTCAAAATCAGGGTCGACAAAAAGAAAATAATACACGGCAATATCAACTTCTTCCAATCACCACCGAGAGCTATCAAAACAAACAGAATACAAAAAAATGACATAAAATACTCTGAACTTAGTAACAACATCACACAAGCCTTCTCCAACATAGGTAGAAAACTATTGGAAATAGCAGATATAAACACAACAAATAAGATGACAGATATACTAATCACATCAATAAAACTAAAAGGGCCAACACCAGTGGCAGTCATTAAAACTAACAATCACCTACTTCAATTCTGGAATGAATACTAGCAAAAACCAAAAAAAATAGCCATAATAGTGCTAATTATAGTAGTAACAGTTAGTGTGAGAAATTTACAAATAATAATTAACACTAACTCAATGAGTATAATTAAATTCGTAGAACAAATTAACCAACATCTCAAATCATTAATCCGAAAAAAGGAAACCTATCACCAATTCCTTAGCATATTATATAGAGTAAAAGACTATAAAAATATCATAATAAGCACAAATCTGGGAACGAACATCAAAAGACCGAAAGACTTACCAATCTTACTAACTGAA